TTTTTTTTTCGGGAACCAATTCGTACACATTTAATTGACCCGGGAACCAACTCCACGTTTGCCAAATCAGTTATTGACCTTATCAAAATTGATAAGTAGTACTTAAGATAGTAGTAGTATTTAAGATAGTATCTTAAATCGTGGTACGAAAGCATCCGCGGGAGCCTGCTAGTTAGTATCTTCAGCCTTCACACTTTCACAGACATTTTGTATGAGGCATTAGCCATCGCTCGAAATGTCGATGTCGAACTAATATAACTATRGTAGTTACTAGTAAGTACTAACCGATTTAACCAATGTTTTTTTGCTCATAATACTCAAAATAATTTAATTAACGAATAACCTACCCAAGATAATTACTTTGAAAAAGTGTAAAAATGTCGAAATCAGTAGACGTTTTTGATGATTGGTTTTTTGACTCTTTTAAAAGGTAAGAATATTATTGGTAAACTTCGCTTTTAAATATAGTAAACATCTATTAAATTTTAACTGATTGATATATATTTTTTTTTTAATAAGGTATCATAAGCTGCAAATGTTTAGTGTGGATAAACCAGTATTTTCAATGGAATTGAGTTGTGATTCTTCGGTGTGTTTAGCRTGTGAAAAACCAGGAGAAAATTGTTTTGAAGTTTTGAATTTGGAACTTCCAAGCAAGCTGTTCCAAATTGAAAATGAACACGATTCAATAAACACGAGTAGAGATTTGAAAATCAAATGTGGCACTTTAACTGATAATCAATTAATAGATGTAAACACAAATTTTAAGTATTTTGGTAACTATATTATCATTGAAATTAGACATATAAAGAAACATAATTATTATACATTACCAATTTTAACAGATGAAAACCCTATTTGGAAAATCTAAAACAATTTTGTCTGAAGAAGGAGTTGGTAAAGTTTCAATATATGAAATGGATCCCCATAAATCAGGCAAGTATACAAAATTATAGTTATTTAGAACTTAAACATATCAAGTCATTCAATTGTCTAATATATAATATGTATTATATATTTTCAGATCAAATGATTCCTTTGGTGAATATTGATAGCAAAGTGGAAAATGCACATTTAGCTGTTGATTGTACAACTGATACCCTAATAATTTGGGGAAAAGAAAATGCTTGTCAAACAGGTTGTGTATTTGACATTGAAAAAAGTACAAAAACGCTCATGATCAAAGATGTGACCAACGACCCTGCATGTACTTATACACCACATTTCATTTCAAAAAATGAATTGGTTGTTCAAAATTCGGAAAATGGATCATTTGATCTGTATGATTTAACTAGTGGTCAGCATGTGAGAAATATTAATTTGCCTGGTAAGTATTTTAATATAGGATTCCAAATACGATTGTTGGTAATTTAA